ATATATATATATATATATATATATAAAGGGAGAGGTGTGGAGAAATAGCAGCAGTGTTTCTCGCTCTTTTTACTCAGGCCCGGCATGGCCAGGTGGTTATGGCGCTCGACTCGCAATCTGAGGGTCGGGGGTTCGAATCCCCGTCACACTAAACATGCTCGCCCTTTCAGCCGTGGAGGCGTTAGAATGTGACGGTCAATCCCACTGTTCGTTGGTAAAAGAGTAGGCGGTGGGTGGTGATGATTAGCTACCTTCCCACTGCTAAATTAGGGACGGCTAGCCCTCGTGTAGCTTTACGCGAAATCCATAACAAACTCTTTTTACTCTCGGACGTTTTTAAACGGTTCAAGAGAGTCCCCGATGATTTGAACGATTTCAGAATTTAAGACTTACGTAACAGATAATAATTATGTAATGTATGATCTAGTTATTTCTTTATTAACTGTACATTTGATGTGCTTGCGAAATAGTAACAAAGATGTATTTACTTTTACAAATGGTAACTTTTTTTTGTTTTTTTGTGGATTACAGATTTTCTGTTTCACAGTAACCTTTCAGAAATTTTATATAGAATAACATATTTTTTTTTTCTCAACAAATAGGAAAGAAGAGGAAAACTAATTTCGAGAACTAGCCAATCCGATGCAACCAAAGAACCTATTGTTGCCCCTATTAAAATAGCTTCTTCTGCTATGCGAGCTCCTGGTAGAAAGACAGGGCACGAGCAGCAAGGACACGAAATACCAGAAGAATTTGTTTTCGATAACCACGAGCTGTGTCTACTAAACTTTTGTGACATCCCACTGGAAGTTGGTAAAAATCGCAGGATGCGAAAATCGGCCAAACTTAAGACCGTGTCCATCATAGACACGCTTAGCGAACTTGCACAGGGAGCTGCGGATCGGGAGGACGGTTCCGGATCTCATCCGGTAGTCGGCAGAGGAAGAAATCGAAGAAAAAATTCCCATTTAGATTTTCCAGAAAAAACCATTCTTCCTCGATGGGAAATCCAAAGGAGAGGAATTCCTGAGCATCCCAAGGACATCCAAACCGACCTAGCATATACCACTAATTATCCTGCTACTGTTCATATGGATAGAGATTGGTCCCTGTTAGACTCTCGTCAGACGAGACACCAAGAATCGAACTCCTCGAGTCGTGACTTGCGCGTGGGAGAGACGTACACTTTATCCACGTCTCAAGGAAAATCGAAACCTCGCATGCCAATTACAAACTCATCTAGTCCCTCCGAAGACGCCAATAGTGTGTCATCTCGGCATTATAAGTCCGGGAAGTGTCGTGGGGCGATAGATCCGAGTCACGTGCTTGGGGGCTCACTGAAAAGAACCTTGAAACAGCTACGAAAGGCCGTATCTTCTACAGTGGTGGGAGAGGAAGGCATGTTTTTTGATGAGAAACAGAATTTGAAAGTAAGACGTCATCACGGGAAGCGACTAGATAGAGACTATGCTCGTTTGTGCTTGTCTGATAGTGAACTTAGGACCGGTGATCTTAAAAGTTTACCAAGTGACGTCACTTCCGTTTTGTCTGTTCGTAATCCATGTACACATAGTAAGTCACGTGTATTTCATTCTGGGCTAGACGTTGTCGCTACGAAAAGTGTTGATAATTTTAAGCCTAATCTCGTTACTAACACTTCGGTAAACAAGTCCCGAGAACTAGCTCCGACGCAGAGGATTTCCCAATCAAAGGTAGGGGGCGCTTCAAGACGATGGTCTCGTGCACCAGAATGGATTCGATCGATTTTTACAGCTGCAAAAAAAGGAGAGTTAGAAATTCTGGTAGGTAATAATTCTTTTTTTGTGTGTGTGTGTAATGTAGTGTAATATGTGTTTTCGGAAATATTTTCCTGTTGTTATACTAGGGCATGATGTATAATTGAATATTTAAATATGCAGGAATAATAAAAATAATAATAATGTGGGCAAAACGATTCGTTTTGAATGAAAAATGGATTTATCTCACTCGGTCGTTTGAATGGAGTGAGGTCTCTCCTCACTTTACCTAACGGTACGACGGTACTCAACGTTAGTTAGGTGAGATTTATGAATGGAGTGAGTACCGTTAAGTAAAGTGAGGAGAGACCAACGTTGAGTACCGTCAGTTAGGTGAGATTTATTTGCGCGAAATTCACAAACAAATCTCACCTAATTGACGGAACTCAATTTTATCAAAATTTCGTTTACATTTGCTGTTATCACTTTTTAAGCTTTGCTAAAAATCTCAAATTTGAGATATTTACTTCACAATACCATTGTTACGGCTTTATTTTGTCACCATGGAAACAAGGAAGAACTAATAAGTTCTGCCAATATTACATCGTTAATGTAATCTTAATTAACCACGTGCAATAATTATGTAAAAAATATTCGCTAATAAATATATGTAATAGTGTACAAAGTTATATATTTACACAATATTCCAGCAAGAGGCAGGCTTTGTATTATGATTTTAAACTTTCAGTGCTGACTCAAGGATGGAAACCAGGATACAAAACTTACTTTAAATTATAGTAACTGAAAATAAGCTACACGAAGGCTATCTGCGCTACCCTTCCCCAGTTTAGCAGTGTAACACTAGAGGGGAAGGTAGCTAGTCATCACCATCCACCGCCAAATCTTGGGCTACTCTTTTACCAACGAATAGTGGGATTGACCGTCACATTATAACGCCATCACAGTTGAAAGGGCGAGCATGTTTGGTGGAACGGGGATTCGAAACCGCGACCCTCAGATTGCGAGTCGAGCGTCCTAACCACCAGGCCACGCCAGGCCCTACTATATTTTCAAATCAGTTTTGTAACCTGTGGCGTTCATAAACCCTTTAAGACGAAACGTCGGGTTGAAACGTGTAGACTTTTTTTTCTTTTTTTTTGCGATGTTCGAGTAAGGGGGTACACTTTTTTATTTTAGATCGCCAGATGGAACTTGCTCATTTGGAGTAGATTTATGAATAGTGATAGTATTCAAAGTTTAACTGGAAGAATGAAAGAACAAAAACGAACATTCGAATCCTTTCTTTTTTTCATCTCTTTATGTTGTACCGGGATATACGAGTCGAACTGGAATCATGCATAACACCAAGTTTAATTATTGACGTCTTAACTGCCTACATTTGATAATAAAACCTTTAACATAACTAAAACAGCTGTGGGTCATATTCTTGAAATTCTGAAACATCCTTTATATCAAATGGAATAAAACTTAGCGTAATCCAGTTGTGTAGATTTGGTAATAACACCTACTGTAACTGGATTACACTAGATGTTATTACCAAATCTACACAACTGGATTACACTAGATGTTATTACCAAATCTACACAACTGGATTTGTGTAGATTTGGT